TTAGAAAATAAACATATTTTTATATGTTGAATTAGGATATACCATTTATTTTCAATCTTTTCGTAATCTACTCTTGTCGTCATTGGAATCGCAATGTAGCTTGTCGGACTTTCAAGATACTTCAATCTAGCCTTATCGGCTATATTCTATATCAACTTCAGTATCAAATTTACTGCCACCGATTCACTCCTTTAGTGAAATAAAGTAATTGCAATTAGAAAATTCTTGCTATATCGTTGTTTATTAACTAATTTTTCACTTTATTTATTAGGTTCTTCCTTTATCTGTTCAAATCACCTCTATCTGTGGCAACGTGCTCAGTCGTACCTTATCCGGTGGACGCGCGGAGCGCAACGAGGCTTTGCTTTTGCATACATTCACAGAGCATGGCTTTCTTGTGCCCGACCCTGTTGGACCTAGCTTCTCTCGCAAGGGAATCGGTAAACAGGATCCCGGTGGCCAGGATGAAGTTTTGCCAGAGCTCAGCACACTTGAACATCTGCCGTCGGAATCTACCTCATCGTCTCTTAGTGCTCCTGCTAGCGGTCGGAGAAAGCCAGCCTACGCGGGCGGCATGGTGCTGGAGCCGAAAAAGGGTCAATATCGAAATGTTGTTGCTTGTCTTTTCTGAATCCACTGCCTGAAATTCATAGTTTCTCCCCAAATTTTGTTCGAAACCGTCCTTTTTCACAATTTACTCGCGATTCAATGCTTTACTATGCAATAAGCCTTCGTCATTGTGCAATGGATCCATGTGAACAGTATAGGAATTGATATTAGAAAATGCTAAATATTGCTAAGATTCCTTAACTTTTGATGATAAAAATTAATCATGGCTGTGAATTCCACATTGAAAAAAAACACGCTTGTCTAATCGGCCATCATGAATACACACTTTCAAATCATAGTGACACTTCTCGAGTCAATGTGTCAAATTTAGAGGCAATTACGACTACTGCAATTTGTGGTAACTTGTTGTATTGGCTCTCATTGTCCAAGATAATATGCTCTTTTTGAATCCCTATTACAGTTTAATTAGTTGGAAAATTCAGTTCTTTTCGTCCCATTTTAGGCGAATGAATAATCCAGCATTTGAACTCCAAAACTGTCCACTTTGATCGTTTCATTTTGTTATAATTAGCTTTACAAATTGCTTAGGCTTCTCTTTGCCTTATCTAAGTTAAGTTAACTAACGTCACATCACTTTTTTCTGTTCATACCCTTTTATTATCCGATTTAATTCAGTAGATCATTATATACAATAGGATCTATTTCCGTCACATTTACTCGACATATCAAACACTGAATGTGCTCTATCCATTTATTCACTGAATGCATTTTTATTAATTTGCGAGATTTTGATTTAAGATATTTTAATGCAAGAATCCCAATTCAAAATAAATAGATATCTTCAATAAATAATTAAGGCGAAATACGGTCCACCTCCTGAGAATTGTTTTTTATTTTTATTCCATTGTAGCATTAGTCATAAATATCTTCTCAACAAAGGAGATAATTACTCATCTTAAAACCATTTAAACCTTTTTTTGTATTTTTAATTAGGTTTCTACGACAAATTTATTCTGCTGCTTGATTTCAATTCACTGTATCCTTCTATCATACAAGAATTCAACATTTGCTTTACTACAATGGATCGTAGCATGATCAATTTATCTCAAGTTGAGAACAGCGTAAGCAATACCTAATTCCACATTGGAAGTTATACAAAAATTACTTTATTGTATACTCAATTTTGCCTATGACGTCTTTTTTCTGTTGTTATTATTAAGGGCTTAAGCTCATTAATTTTTCTGATATTT